CAATTGACCATGTCCATTCAAGTGCTCAACACCTGCCTGTATCTGAGGCGTTTTACGGTGCATAGAGCCTGCTGATACATCTGATATCATGACACGATGCTGCACGCGATCATCAAATCGTCTCACCTCTCTTCCAGAGCGCCGTCTCGAGGGGTCTCGCTGCGCCTCTGCAGTGCCCTGAGATGCCGCTGATTGGCTCCGGCTGGGCACCGGCTGCCCTCTCATCTGGCGGCCGCGTGATGAAGCGTTGGTTCTGCAGGCCACCGCCAGGTGACCACGCCGTCCGCAGGCCTGGCAGGTGCTGGAACGGGCTTGGCAGTCGGCCAGGTCAGCGTGCAGCGTGCCATTCCTCACCACAGAAACCGCACTTCTTAACCGGGGCGTGTTTGCTCCTCTGGGCTGCAGATACACGGTTAGCGGACAAATAATGACTTTGGAGTTCATCGCGACCGCACTGGGCGTTTTCACGAGCTCGACATATGTTGATTGCCTTTTGCAGCGTGAGTGATTCATCGGCCAGAAGCTCTTCTAGAACTACTGTATCACGAATGCCCGTAACTATCTTGTCACGAAGCTGATCGTCCTGACAATGGTCACAGAAATTGCAAAAGTCGTGAATTTCTTTGATCGCCATCAAAAAATCATTGAACGATTCTCCAGCCTCTTGAACCCGTTGAAAAAAATCTCGTCGGTCTAGAATGACATTTCTCTGTTTGCGTAAGTGGTCACCAATCTGCTGAACTATGACGTCAGTCGTCACATTCGCGTCATCCAAGTCAACGCCCAACGAGTACTTCAACAGTCTAATCAAGTCATCATCAAGTAGTGCTATCAATGCAGCCTTTTGCTCCTTGTGTGATAATTGACTCATTCGCGTCAATTTACAATGGCCCTTATATTTATCTTTCCAGACGGCAAATTCTCTCAAAGACGCGCCAGATACGAGGTGTGGGGCCGATGCCAGCGCAGCAGAGGGCAGTGAGCTAGTAGTCAAACGCGCACCCTGTGCCGTCTCACCTGCTTCAGCAGCACGTACCTGACGGTCTTGTAAGGCGGCTTGTGTGGAGGTAGCCAGAGACAGAAGGCGCTCTGTTAGCCGCTCTTCTCTCTCGCGTGCCTCCATCCTGTCTCGAGCCGCCGTCTCCATTTGCTGACTCAGCATCTCCGTCAGGCGCTCAACTGCCGCTTCTGCCGTCATTTTGCGTCCCCTGAGGATTCTTGCTGCACTAGGAGATCATGGATGGATTTGTAAGTTCAATAATCTACCGACCGCGCCATGTGTTGTGTATTGGCGCACCGCACTCCACCAGTCCACAGTACACACTGACCCTCCGTCCGCCCGGCCGGCGCCCCCAGGCGCCGCAGGCGATCCCGGTCAGCCCACCACAGTCGGTCACAGGTACGGGCCGGTACAGTCGTGTACAGGTTGATGGTCCGCCACTCTTTATCCACCGGGTTCCTATGGCTCAGCATTGGCAGCAGCCGCCTGGTACCGGTAGGCTGTGCCGCATGACCCGAGAGTGAAGCGGCACAGCCTACCCACACTGTATGACACCGGCTCGGGTCGCCTGGTAGAGCGATTTGACCGGACGCTGCGTTACACCGGCTGGAGGGATGGGGGGGGGGGGGGGGTAAGGGTCAGGCCTGTCTATTTGGCTCGGCTCGGTGGATGAGGCGGGCTGGAGTGTGGTGTGGGGCGGGGGTGATGTGGGGAGGGAGTGAGCGGACCTGGGGCTGGGTGTGTGTGGTCACTTGTCGCATAGAACCGATCGTAATCCACCCTCCAAAAATTCGCTTTAGATATTCACAAAACCCAGGGGGGTTCAAACACCCATCTCCCAAGTGGAGTGCGGAAGGACAGGTAAGGGTCCATACGGTCTCCTCATGAATTGCAGCAAAGAAAGAAAACAGACCTGTCACCAAATAATCTTTCTGAAAAGTGGACTAATCGCAAAGCCCAGGACACAGAAATAAACATCCAGCACGCGAAGCGTCTCGAACCGGGCCTCTCCAGGGCTGGGAAATCTCTCACACTTTCATACCCCAGTAGGTAGCAGATATCGCTTTATTGTTCCATCAATTGTAGCAAAATCAACATTTCTCTCTTCCGTACATCATAAAGAAAAATACAACAAAAACATCAAAGTTCGCACATTTTTAAAATAGAGGTACCACCAGCCAGTGATCTCGTCGGCGAATAAGAACAAAACATCTGTAAGACTAACACAAGTTCAAAACGTCAGCTTTGTGCTCCATTTTATGACGAATCTGGCGGCTCTTTGTAGCAGTTTCCATTGTAGCATCACTAATTCTTCATACTCTGAGTCGTGTAACAAAAGGTATCTGCTACGCCTTTTTATGCGCTATCTTTCTTATGAATATTGCCAAAAGGAGTTTCATTATTTGTGAAATATCCAAATGACATATTTACGAAACAAAACAAATTGTTTTCAAAAGGGCATTGTTCAATGATCAATAAAAATACGAAAAGAATCAACTCATTCTGCCCATGGCATCTCTAAAAAGCCATCTTTTATGATACAGTGTCCTGTAACGTCTTTAATCCTTTTTGATGACGTCATACACAATTTTATTCAGTTTTATGTATTTTACTGTTAAAATCCTACTTGTTTGAACTAAATTAGAGTTTAAGGGAATAATTGAACATTTTCTGTAAGATTTATTAAGAAATCTTGTCAAAAATATGCAAATTACGTCATTACTGTTTGTGTATTTTGTTGATGCACTGTTTCTGGCGCATTAGAGACAATTCTAGTTGTCGTTTCGCGTGGATAGTTCAGTTGAGTTTGATGAGTGTTTGTGGGTGTTTTTGAATTATTTCAGCTATTTTAGCTTTTATTTTGCCTCTATTTTAGGAAAGTGGAATATTCCAGGCCTAATTTCAAGTGTTGCAATGACAACTGTCCCTAAAGCGGCGTGCAGGACACAGTTAAAGAGCAAGGTAGCCGCCCAGCACGCAAAGCTAGATGTGTGAAGATATAGGGAGATACCTATGATCGAATTTGCGCAGAAGGTGAGATCTGATTGAAATATTGATCAAGTAACGCCCAGAAAATAATTTGTTATTTAGTTCTTTACATGTTCAATTATTGTATTAACTCTAAACCTTGATTGGTGGCAACTGGCAACTTTTGTACAGCGGGTTCGGCATGCACAATGATTGTAAATTGTTGACCAGACTGAGCAGCCAAATCAACCTGATTTCTTTCAAATACTTTCTGCCTGAGTAGGCTGATACCATCTGAAGCCTGAAGTTGCTGAAATGCTGATAGGAAAATTCTAGGGCTCACTTGAGCTCTCTGGTGCTCTCAGGTGGTGCTGGAACTTGCCCTGAGAAAGCCTTACAGCACCTTAGTTTGATATTTGTATGCTTTTTCTAAACCTGAGTAGTGAGTACCTACAAAGAGTAAAAAATAAGAAAAAGAACATTCACAGGGGCATAAGCAAGACACTGTATCTGTTTTTGTTCGTGCAACCAACTAAATAAAAACATTCAAAGCTCAATTTGAGAATAGATAGAAAATGAAAGTGGAAAGCTCTCTCCAGAATTTTGATTACTTGTAAAATCATTTTCTCTAGCAGAAATGATGTGAGGAACATTTGTGGCAATGTAGCTAATAAAGAGTTTCTCGTAATATCTGGTATGTAGCAGATTCAGCATTTTTCCCAGCCCTGGGCCTCTCACTACCGGTCAGTTTGACAGTCCAGCACTCCTACCCTGAGCTACACCGGATGGTGGCCACGGCCGGGGCAAAGTCTGGCCGGGCGGGCGGCGGGGCCGGGAGGTCGGCAGCAAAGTCAATGAATGTTTTTGTGGTTCCGGGAGCCGGTCGCTCTAGCTTGGTGGAATGATGATGGATCATTGGCAAAACTTTCAAAGTGGAGTCCCGGTTCGAGCCTCATCGGGGCTCCGGCTACTTTTCCGAGTTAGGATCTGGTTCGATTTTAGTGGCTGCGAGCCATTTATACGGTTTTATATCTACATGTCGATTGTCGATTGATTGATTGATTCATTCATTCGTTCATTTAATACATGTCGACATTTAACATACGAATTGACATCCAGGATCAATCCGATCAATCTACCATTTTCATAAGCGTATTGCCTAAATATCATGCATATATGTGGCACAAGACCTATGGTTGCCTCGATACCGTGCCAAATCACGTTTTGCACAATGCACAAACAAATTATATTCGCTGGGTCTTCCGTGCATTTTGCTTAGCAAAAACAGGAATGCAATTGTTAAGCGACGCAAAATGTGCAATGCAGCAAGTGACCACACACACCCGCCCAGCCCCCATGGTCCACCAACACGCCCCACACCACTCGCCAACCCACGCCAACCACCGAGACGAGCCCCTCCCCCCGCGCTGGTCTGAAGCGACAGCTGGTCTACAAAGCGCTCCACCCGGCGACCCGAGCCGATGTCAAACGGCGTGGGTAGACTGTGCCGCTTCACTCTCGGGTCATGCGGCACAGCCTACCGGTACCAGGCGGATGCTGCCAATGCTGAGCCCTAGGAACCCGGTGGATAAAGAGTAGGGGACCATCAACCTGTAACGACTGTACAACTGGGTCCTGCTATAGCGAAGGCAATGTGATGCTGATGCTTGTGCGCAATAGTCTTGGTGATGTTGCGGAAATTCTTGTTTGATTTCACCAATCCTTTCAAGAACGAATATTTGCTTTCGAAGCGCAAAGTCCAACAGTACCTCAGTGGACCATGTTTCCGTATCTGAGAGCAATAGTGCAGCATGAAATGGAACTTGGGTTTCAGACGGAAGTCTGGGTACACGGACCTCAATGAAGAGAGCCACGCCGATATTTTCTGACTGAGATACAGATCATCAGCACAAAACGTCCGATCACCAGCACAAAACGTCCGAGCAAAAGTACTCCCCAAAATGTCACAGAACTCTGTCATCAGCAACCATTCTCTGCAAGCGTCCGGCACAAACTTCCCAATGATAGGAAACGAAAAAGCGTCCATGTCTCACTAGCTGTTTGCCTGATTCTGATTCTGCCTTTCACCGCATGGATTTGTCTCGGAGTGTTCTCCTCAGTGCCCCACGTGAAGTTCCGAATCAGGTCATTCACCTTTTGCAGCGAGATGTATTTTTCCACGAGCACAATGGAGGTGAGGACAAGCGAAAGTAGCATTGGCAGAACACCTTCCAGGATCATGCGCTATATCTGGAGGAAAGCAGCCAGCGACGTTGAAATTGGGCAGCTCACTGAAGGCGCACGTGGCCTTGATGCCTGTTTCTGACACCAGGGAGGGACTGAACTCGCTGCTCTTCAGAGCTTCGATCTGAGCGTCGTACGTGGCGGAGTCTTTCAGGCGACAGTCTTCCTCAGAAAACTGATTTTGCCACTCATCCGGCGAGCTCAAACAAAAACGGCAGGGGCTCTTCCCTGTAGAGAAATTTTCTACGAATCCACCGATCCCATGAACAGCTAGGTTATCTCCAGATATGTACAGAAGTTTCACTCTGAGCACTGTTCGAGCACCGTTGACAGACGCTTCGAAGCCGTGCGTATACAAACGCTGCAAGTCGTCCACCAGACGTTTGAGGATTCGCTCCCAGCCATACTTCCGCACGTAAGATGTCAGGCACAGAATCAGCAAGAAAATCTTATCGACTTTTGATCTCAGTTCCACAGGTACATTCAATACCGAGAAATGCAACGCCGCTATTTTGTGCACGCCTGCCGCGCTGCTCAGTGGATTCGCGATTTCGAAGTCGTCATACGAAAGAGCAATGTACAAAACACCTTTCTCTCGGCACAAATGAGCTGTTCCATCAAACACGTCGCTTATTGTGTCACCCTGGGCCAACTTCTCTGTGGTGGTGTTCTGAATGACTTGTGGCAAGCCGACAAGCTTCTTCAGCTGTGGCTCCAACGGTACATACTGAAACGACTGTTTGACACCCTTGTCGTTTTCCCCCAAAATGATCGTTTCTGGCGCGACATACGGCAGCTCATCTTCAACGAATCTCTTGTACCTATGGCTGCTTTGGAAGTCCTTCAGAGCCTTGACAGTTGGTAGGTGCTGGTGGCGTGACGCTTCACTGGTACCTGGCTCAGCATTTTGTCTCGAATGCTCCTCCAGTGCATTTATCACAACACTCTCAGTTTTCTGCGCAACGATTCTGGGACATGGTTATCTCTCAAAAACCCAAGAAGTTTAGCTACTGCCAAACGAGATGGATTTTCACTGGTTTGGCTCGGGGTTTCTTCAGCTTCTGTCGGTTCAGACTCTTCCTCTATTGGAAATAACTCAGGGTTTGGGTGCTGAGCAACAGATCCCACTGTGCCTTCAGGTATACCATGAACATTCTGCAAATGTCTTTCCCAGGAACGGTGATTTGTGAACCTTTTTTCACATGCGATGCATTTGAGCTTTGAACGGCTTCGCTCGAGTTGGTGACGTCGAACGTGTCTCTTGAATATTACAAAATCGTGGTGTTTAAAGGCACAGGCATGACAAGCAAACATCTCTTCGTGTGGAGCATGGTCCTGAAAATGAGCAAATAAGAATTTCCAGCAGAGTGGTATGTCTCTTGTACCATCGCTGTTACAGCTCAGCAATACCATAACATTGTGGATAAACTTTTTTATAAACAGTTTTTGTCATGTTTGTTTTATGATAAGCAGAAAAAATTCTTATATAAGGCCCCTGAATATATGACTTCGAAATTAATCGATTCTACAAAGCCCTTTTCTTCCACCTACAACATTACATTAACGATAATTCTGGACTTGGCTGGTTTGGCTGGCCCTAATAGGCTTCGTGTGGCTATTAGGTAACTCTGCATCTCGACTGGGGCAAGCGACAAAAAAAAAACAGCCCCGAGTGGGTCCCGAAAGGCTAAACGCTGGACGGGGTTAACCCACCCGGAGAATAAAATGCCGGGGCCAGAAAGAGGCCACAACTCCAGCGCTGAACCTAACCTAACCTAGCATAGCCTAGCCTAGCCTAGCCTAACCTATGATGTTTGCCTACAAGGGTTGGAGTGTGAATTATCCCCAGGAACAGATTGCAGCCAAGTGTGGCCTTTGGCCTGAAGCCAGAATCCAGATAAACAACCACTGAACCTAAACATATTTGCATTACCCTTGCCTAAAATCTCTCCGATGTTAACATGTTGGTTCACGGTCCAATTTTGCAGCGTTTTAGTTTTGTTTAACCCGCGCCCCACTGGGGTCTGCGTATAACACGCCCTACTGGGGGGGGGGGGAGGGGCTATTCATAGCCCCCCTCCTAACTCCGAAACTACTGGGCCGATCGTCAAAATTCAAACGGTGTCTGATAGCCCCGGAAAAACTGTCGAGCGAAACCTAATTTTATTGACCTCGAGGTCACCGATGACGTCACAGGTCAGGTCAAAGTAATAATTATTAGCATTTTGGCTTGTTCACGTTTTGGGCTCTGGCCGCCGTCTTACAAGTCAGATCAAGCTCATTTTTAGTTCACACACTCGTGAACAGATGCTCTAGATACTCTGAGGGTACCAAACTTGTACTTTGATTTTCAGGTCAAGGTCAGGTCATCACAGGTCACGAAAATATTATATCATGCGTCGGTCACGTGACACATGTTTTATGGTCCATTTAGGCCAAAGATTTCGAATTTGATGTCGTCTGTGTCATTCGAGGTCATTTTGAGTCGAATTTAGCTTAGGTCAGGTCACTTTAGGTCAAAAAAGGTCAAATTTTGAAGTTATAATTTTTCAACAAAAAAGGTGTCTATAGGATGCAGTTTGAGCTCAGGAACACGATGGTGCTATTTATATTGGCGTACGATGTCAAACACGTGGTGAAAAATTGATTTAAAAAATTAATAATTGTGAATTTTTTGCAATAATGCGTATAACTTGGCCATTTTTGAAGATATTTAGCTATAACTTGCTAGAGTTAGTCATAATAACGCGTTCCATCACATATATTCCGGTTTTTCGAAAAGTCGAAAGCTTTTTTGAAAAAATGTAAAAAAGTAAATTTTGAATTTTACTGGCCGTTTTCACGACGGAATAGCAGGCATCTATTTGGTACCAGTTTGATCCTTTGGTTCCTCAGGAATTTTAGTAGTTCTTTTTAGTAGTTTTCCCAGCTTTCGAATGAATGGTGCGTTAGCTTGCTATTTTTCTATTAACCCGCGCCCGGCTGGGGGTCCTGGATTTCCACGCCCTGCTGGGGGGTGTTTGAACACCCCCCCCCCTAGTAACTCGGCTCCTGGGCCACGTAGCGATACGCGGAAGGCGGCGTTCGAAAGAGCGTCAAAAATAATGACGAAATCACTTCGGTCAATTTTTTGCTCAGGTCAAAGGTCAGGTCACCAGAGGTCATTGAAGGCAAAATTTCGCCGATTTCCAGGTCGAATGTCGAAAATTTCCAAGAAGCCAACGCATAACTCGGGAACCAATAGAGCTACAGCGCCGCGGAAAAGCGCATTCGATAGCCCTATTAACGCCCTTTCTGAGTAATTCGCTCAGATTTGACCTAACGTCAACGGTTTTGCCTGCAGGGGGCAAAAACTGCAAAAATAGCCGATTTTTTTCGGAAACAGTTTTTCTGCAATAACTTTTGACCCAAGCCTTGTACGAGCTTACTTTTACCGGCATCGTGTTTCTCTCGTCAAGATGCATCGAATGAACTATAACTTGACCTTGAAAGTTCAACTTGAAAATTTGACCTCAGGTCAAGGTCATGACCTGACCGGAAAGGGTCATGTTGCATATCAGTCGATCCGTATCGTCGAGCTGAACACATCTAAGGCGTTTTCATTGCTCTAGCATGCCTCTATCAAAAGTTATTTGCGAAAAACTGTTAGATACCATTCGTGACCTAAGATGACCTCAGGGCATAAACAAGGGTCACGGACACCATTTTCATGTTCTGTGTGTCTAAACCACTTGTAATTCGGTGTTTGGGAGTGTTTATAATGTCTTTCGTCCAAAAGAGGAGCATTTCAATTTTCTCCCATTGACTTATAATGGGGAGGTCGCAAAATTGACCTGACCTTAGGTCACCGATATCAAAGTTCCGAGATATACATTTTATAGATACTGTTACCCTTATCAATCGTTGAAAGTTTCAAAGCGATCGGTCACTCGGTGTAGCTATGACAGACATTGAAACTTTTTATGAGGTGAGGTCACTTCAAGTGACCTGGTGACCTGACCTTGAATGACCTTGGTCTGAAATTTTCACAACATGTGTAGAATTGATGTATGATAAAGTGTACCAAAAACGGCGGCGCGCCGCGCCGCCGTTTTTGAGATATTCGCGAAAAACCACAAGGGGGTGTTCAAACACCCCCCCCAGCAGGGCGCGGGTTAAATATCACATCGATTTGCTTTATCTAAGGATTTACCACTAATATCAACATAAAGCGTAAGCACAATTATAAAATTATGAAATTATTAAATACTAGTACAATAGTTTAAAAAAGATACTGAGTTGCCACGCTACAAAGAATATATTCATTTATGGCGCACGACAGACATTTAGAAAGCAGCGCCCTGTTTTATTGCACGCTGCTAGCCGCTTCCATTGGGTTTTGCAGGCCGACGTCATTGGTTGTTACACATATGATGTCACGCGACTTGTGGCCTATCACGGCTCTTTAATGATCTCCACTAAATGAATGCAACAATGGCCTTTTAAGCTGATCTCTGTGGCCATCCGTCTATGGAGCGACCAATATGAAAGTTGGGTGAATTTACCGGGGTTACATGACTATGAGCAAGCAAATGTGTATCAGGAATGGATTTAGGTGGAGAATTGCGCTGGACCATGAGTGCTCGAGCGCTCCCAATTCCACGCCGGTTTGGCTTTGGAGCCGAGACAGACGATGCGGGTCAAGGTCACCGCTGCGGTAACGGTGGATTGGCTGCGCCCGAGCAGTGAGCACCCGTAACGCGGTACAATTCTCCGTCTATGGATTTTCCTATTCGCTCAGCATTGTGATAGGCGTTCGTAATAGCATTTACTCTGCTCGTGTACCTAAAGCCCCGGTTATTTAAAAGAAGTTTTTGTGGGGGGATATTACGGCTGTAGGTACTCAGTGGCCCTATTCACGACTTTCAAAGAATGCTCTGATAACTAAATACCGCACAGACCTACTGCATTAGTGAATCTGACAAAAGGTCTGTGGAATTACATCCCCCCCTCACCACACCCCTAAAAACTCATCCAGTGTCCAAAACCACTTTTATCGACTCGCCAAAAAAAGAAAAGAAAAAGAAAACACACACACACACACAAAGCATGGGGCATGTCAGCTCTCAGTTCATTTATCATTATCTTTACCATGTTTCAACTGCATTGCGCGATTCAAAGCACGTGAGTGCCATTATAGTATATATGTAGAAAATAATACCTACAGCAAAACATCCAAAATTACAAAGGCTAAAATGCTTAAAAAGTAGGTTTATCAAGGAAGCCCATTTTAGCTTGCGTGGTGTTGCCAACCATGCGATTCTTACGCGGGCTATTCACAACGTCTGCAAAGGCACGTTAACAACTGACAAGCCGCCACCGCTGCCACTTATTCACATAGATGGTTGATATCGCAGCTTGGGCGTCAGCAGCGCGGCCCGCAACGCGTCGGCGCCAGCGCACGCAGTTGTTGGCACTCGGCAGCCGGTGTTGCGACTTAACGGCCAGCCGGCCCCATGAAGGAGAAGCTCTTGTTAAAGCTTTGTGATCGCCTCATAGCCGCCTTGGATGTCATCTTTCTTGGCAGATCCATCCGTTCAGATGGTACGGTGCAGTCTGGATAAAGGACGAAGTCCAACGCCGCTAACCCCGCGACCGCCACCCCAGAACGTGGCCGCAGACCGAACGGGCGTGAGGGCCGTAAGGGCCACCCCGCCATCCGGTAGGTGGCTGAGCAGCCGGGCGCAGCGGCGCCTGGGCGGCGGCCGCGCTGAGATGAAGTCCCAAACCGCCATGTCACCATCACCGCCATCACCATTGCTGCAGCTGTTCCCAACCGCCTCCATTGCCGCCGTTGTCAGGTGTTGCCAGCATCCGCGCCGCGGGATGGCAGAAGCTCCAGAGTAGCCTCCAGCGCCCCTCTCCGCACGTGTGCAGGTGCTTTGCGGCCGCCGGGTCCGACGTCCAGGCAGAACATGATATTTCCACGCTGCTCCGACGGTGGGCTGGTCTTGTTTGGGCGTTCCTCCACTGTGACGTCGGTCACGCCTGCCCCGGCCAGGGCGCAGAGGCCGACGTCTCACCATCCGGTTGCGGTCCTCAGTCGGGTCGCAACGTGTACCTCTACCGCAGCGTGGAGCGCGCTCCCGCTGGGCAGCGATACAGCCAAACGTAA